ATTTTTCCAGTACACCAATAAATACTCGTTGAATGAATAAATGAGGTTGAGGCAGCTCTCACTTTGGGGTTTCTCTGGCTATTGGAAAACATTCTCACTACCAGAGGTGAAGAATTCTGGCCCAGTACCACACCTGAGCATTTCTTTTTCTTTTTTTTTTTTTGTGGTTTTGGCTGGGGCTGGGTTTGAACCCGCCACCTGGGGCTGTCGCCCTACTCCTTTGAGCCACAGGCGCCAGCCCCAAGCCTGAACTTTTAGCTCATTTGGGAGCATTCTTTCAGTTTGAACCCTTATTGCCATAAGAGGGAAGAACCTCCAAGGGCGTTTTTATAGGAGTCAGAGCCTTTCTCTTGGAGGAGGTATGTGTTGAGTATAAATGTCTGAACCTTGTTTTAGGAGGTAAGGGAATACTCCTACCCCAGCACCTGGCACAGTGCTTTGTAGATAGTATTTAATTTATTCCTGTAAGGTTTTATTTATTTATTTATTTTATTTTATTTTATTTTTGAGACAGAGCCTCAAGCTGTCACGTGGGGTAGAGTGCCATGTCATCACAACTCACAGCAACCTCCAACTCCTGGGCGTAGGCAATTCTCCTCCCTCAGCCTCCCAAGTAGCTGGGACTACAGGGGCCCGCCACAACGCCCAACTATTTTTTGTTGCAGTTTGGCCAGGGCTGGGTTTGAACCCACCACCCTCGGTATATGGGGCCGGCGCCCTACTCACTAAGCCAAAGGTGCCACCTGGTACTACACAATCTTAATGAGTTCTATTTCCCAGGAGAATTTGCATTCCTTATATTAATGCTTCAATTATCATGATTAGTCTGACCTTTACTAAAATGAGCAGTTTCTACCAAATTGCAAATTAGTCGATAATTGTATTTGTCAACTGAATATAATCTCCACAGTTGTACACTTCTTAAATTTACCTTAATTTATCACTTGGAGCCCCTGGAACTCTTATTTGCCTTTTGGACATGAATTCAGGAACAGTTCAATATACCTATGATCTGAGGATAACACAAAAAGCTTAGTTTTAAAAAGTTGAGATGGCAGAAAAACATTGGAGCCAATTTTCTCATGGTTCAGACAGCAGCTCAAACCCCCTGCCCTTTCTTTTCCCTGCCTTACAACAAAACCAAAGACAAACAAAAAACCCTTCCTAACTCTACATGGAAATATGCAGCATAATTAGCAGGCAAGTAAATACGCCAGTACAATACAGTGTTCAGGTCTTTTTCATATAGTGTTTCCCTGTCACTGGCGCTAAAGCAGTGGCATCATTACAGCTCACGGCAACCTTGAACCTGTGGGCTCCTCCTGTCCTCAGCCTCCCAAGTAGCTAGGACTACAGTTGCCCACCACCACACCCAGCTAATTTTTTTCTTTTCTTTTTATTTGAGACAGAGTCTCACTTTGTCAGTCTGGGTAGAGTGCTATAGAATCACAGCTCACAGCAACCTCAAACTCTTGGGCTTAAGTGATTCACTTGTCTTCAGCCTCCCAAGTAGCTGGGACTATAGGTGCCTGCTACAATGCCCAGCTATTTTATAGAGCCAGGGTCTTGCACTTGCTCAGGCAGGTCTTGAACCTTGTGAGCTCAGGCAATCCACCCGCCTTGGCTTCCCAGAGTGCTAGGATTACAGGTGTGAGCCACCTTGCCCAGTCCCAGCTAATTTTTTCTGTTTTTTTTATAGAGACAGAGGTCCTGTTCCTGGTCAGGATGGTCTTGCACTCTTGACCTCAAGTGATTCCCCTGCGTTGGCCTTCCAAAGTGCTAGAATTAAAGGTGTGAGCTACTGCACCTGACCAATATGGTGTTCTATTCTTTATGATTAATTTAGAAGTACCAAAAGAATACAGATTTCCCCAGGAAAACTTCTGTGCTAATTCCCAAACAGAAAAAGCATTTGTGGGCAAAGACAAGTGACGATGAGAACCATGGGTGTTACTTACGAACGTGGGACCGGTCCTTGAGCATAGCTGCGACAGCATCCTCATGGGTATCGAAGTGCACATCAGCTTCCCCAGTGGCCTTCCCGCTGGAGCTGTACTCCATGGTGATTCTAACAGGCTTCAGCGGAGCAAAAAACTAAACAGAAGCCAAAAGGAATACAATGGACTGGGCCTGACGTGCAGAATCTAGCGGCCCCTCATTCTCACGTGGCCTCACACACCTGACGTGCAGTTCCAGGGAATCCCCACTTTAAGCAATGAAGTAGCTACATCTACCATCTCTTCTGGAACTCAAGGTTAAAGGTTACATTCCAAGCATCTGTTCTCAGAGAACCCAAAACTATAAGTACAATACAAATGGTTCTCAAACTTTTTTTAGACATAAAGACTACTTCTATTATTCACCCACACACGTCCTTCCCTGTTTCTGAAAGCATGTCCACCAAATGGACTTGGTTTCTCAATAATCCATTTTTACCAGTTTTTAGTCAGACATGTACATGGCACTTGGGTTCCTACTGGCATTGCATAAACAGCCACCACACAGACACTATTATTCCAAACCAAACCAAATGAATACAGCACTTCAGTGAGAAAGTACTACTTCCATTTGGGGAAAGGTCTGATTCCTACCAGGAAATAATAATGACACGTGAAGCCCCACTGGGACCAAGATTTGCATCTACCCATGTGTTCTCAAGTTCATGAAGTCAGTAAAGCCTGGGTTGTTTGTTTTCCTTTCATACAGTATCTATTATAACACAAAGATACGTTTTATTTCTTTTCTCAAAAATTAGGGAATCTTGTTGCAAGAAAGATACAAGAGTATCTCTCATGAAAACCCCAGGAGTTCAGAAGTACTGGTTTCTTGTCTAGTAAATAACAAATAACTGCTCCTTCCGTGACAGCTGCCTCTAAGTCTCAGTTTCCTAAACTAAAAAAGAATGGGCAATTCTAAAAACCAAATTTTCCTACTTTGAATACTAGACCTGTATCATATTATTTAGCATCTATAAATTCCTTATTCATTTTTTACTTTAAAATGTACTAAAAAGTCACATTTTTAAGCTACTGAAAATGAAACAATCAGGGAGATGCCATCTTATTGTCCAAAGATACTCCAGAAATACTGTATTTTCTTATCTATGTTCCACAAATAAATACAACTTCAATTTTAGAACTTTTGTTCAAACCTACTGGGATTGGGTATCTTACTGCACACACATTTATGATGTCTTGGGCATTGGCTTGAAAAGGTAATCCTCTCATGTGGACGAAATGCAGGGAAGGGGTAGCCCCAAAGTCCACAGCCTCCGGAAGCTTTTCTGACATCTCCTTAGGTAACTCTGAGAGGCAGAACGAGAAGCACCATCAACACCACAGAAGCTTAAAGAGCTACTAAACAGATTATAAATTAGGTGTGACTTTCACGTCAAAATCCTCTACTCCTTTTGAGCCAGTAAGGAAGGGCTTTAAAATCCAGCATGATTTGAATATCTCCACTGAACAGATACCACCTGAGGGCTAGGCACAGTGGCTCATGCCTGTAATCCCAGCACTCTGGGTGGCTCAAACTCTGTCTCAAAAAAATCAAAGAAATTATTAAATCCACAAGAAACAAAAAAAATCCTTCCTTCAGTCAATATTCCTGCTTTTTTTTTT